TTAATCCAATTATCATCTTCATAGATTGAAACTATCGTTTTTTGGCTATTAATTAATCACTCCTATTTTATATTCCTCTTCCTTCCTTTTCTCTGTTCTCTTTATCTTGATTAGTTCATTTAATTTGTTTGTGTGTTGGCCCACCATTCTGAAACCCCTAGAGGTTTTTTCCCTTGTTTCTTTCTTTTTTAGCTAATCATTTGCCCAGTTAACTAGACGGTCTTAGGACCCATCTAGAACTAACATTTGCCTAGTTGACCTTCCTTACAAAAACATTAATATTAGCCTATTTTAAAACTCTATCTTCATGTGTATTTGCTGGAGAAGACTGTCTAATGATGTCAAGACCCAACTATATGATTAAAGCTGTATAGTTAAAAATTAATTAAATTGGGCTTTTTTTAATAAGAGAGATATCACATCAATATTTTCAATAAACTTGATGAAAGCAGGTAATGGGATGACATTCATAAAAAGAAAAAAACATAATCTACTTGCTCTTTCCAGATACCAAGTATCAAAAGAAAAGATAAAAAAACCTCAAATCAATAATTCAATTAGTGTTAATAAGTAAATAAATGTGCCTGAGTTACAAACACCTTATACATACTGTGGGCCTATGTTGCTAAGCTTTGCTGTGTTTATGCTACCCCATGCTCAGAAAGAGCTGAGAAAAATCTAAAGGGCAACCAGTCCTTTATAATTATGTAAAATGGCCATGACTCAAGGACTGCAAATGCTCCCAACATTTGCATATTCTGCCAATCATTGGCCTAGTGTTTTCACCTCTGAGCATGAATTTATTTCAGTTGGTTCCAAAGGGAATTGTTGAATCAGCTGAACAAGGACTATATCTTACAGTATTTTCTATTTACCACATAGCCCAAACAATATGAAAATATAAAGTGTTAGCATGTTTTAAGTTTAATTTAAATGGGAAAGATTCTGAGTAATACAACAGTTTTCTGGAATTCGAAATAGTTCCCTCTTCTTAAGAAAATAACACCAGATTAAAATTATAAATTTAAATATGGGTATCAATGCTACAAAAATATTTACTGTTGCTCTGAAAGAGAAAAATTTTAACTTCTTTTATTTAAAAACCTTAAAGGTATATTTTTAAATGTCATTATATATATTACTATTTGTTTGTTTTTTTTCAACTTTTTAGTTGAATAATTTAGAATAATTCTAAGAATCCTGATAGGTTCAAGCTAATTATACTAAACTACCTAGAGACCCAAGAAAATATTTTATATCTGATTCATAGCTTACTTATTGCTTATTTTTTCAATTATGAAAAACTCCCAATTGATTGGGAGAGTGTTTTCTAGATCTCCTTTTCCAGCCCTGACTACATCTCCATGTTACAGTAACCAAGAAACAGTGAGGGCTGCTGATCAACAGGAAGAATGTGTGAGTAGAAACATCCCACGGAAAGTGTCAGTGTAGCGCCACTGCTGAAGGCAGCAGCTGTGGTAATAATTTTTTGTAGGAATCAACACCAGACTAGTTACAAGGAGCTGGATATCGAAGAAGTCCTGAAGGTCCAGCACAATGCACAACCATTCAACCACTAGGACTCCTTACCCTCTACTATAGTCAGGTCTGAATCACATCCTAAAGGGGACCTTAGCTCCAGGCATATAAAATCCAGAATTATATCACCCAAGGGATTATAGCTAGAAGGGCCATATTAACTGACTATAAATCAGCTGGAATCTAAAGAGCCCTAGTTATGCAGTGGTTAAGTAGTCAGAGGCTAAATGAAAGGCTGGCAGTTCAAAACCACCAGCTGCTCCACAGGAAAAAGAGGGCAGTTTGCTCCCATAAAGATTATATAGCCTTTGTCTCATCGTTCTACTCTGTTACTGTGAAAGTGGACCCAACAGCAGGAGGATGTTTAGCAGGAACTCTGCAGAGCAGAAAGCATGAAGAGAGCCTCCCAGTCTGGACTGGACGGCCAATAAAGGACTCCAATTGGCAGGAGCACCGAACGCCAGGAATTGGGAGTAATGGCCAAGGAAGCTCAAAAGCAAATTCAGCCCCAGCCCTTAGTATGTGGAACTGACAAAAACAACTGGGAAGTCTCCAGCTGACAAAGTTGGGGGCAGGGGGAGAAAGAGGGGCAGAATGATATTGACATTCCGATCTAGATTTGAGGCAGGACCCTAACCCTGAGGGGTAGTAGAGCCAACCAAATAAGACCAGTCCATCAAGATCACTGCTTTCAACAGCAGGGACCTAAGACCCCATTGCCTCCTGTATTGGAGAAGACTGAGAGAGTTTTAGGAAGCAAGTCAGAATCCAATAAAATCTCCAACCTCCTAAGGCAGGTGGGAAAATTTGGAAAACTATGTGCCTTATCTCAGAAAATAGCACGGAAATGACACAATGCTTCTTTCTTTCCAAGCTTGGCAAGAATAGAAAAGCATGGTGATTTCTCTTCCCCCCTAGTAACACCAGGTGCTAACTGCCTGGCCCTCTAGCATTGCTTTAGTTCCCTAAATCTTTTAAGTGGGCAGACTCATCAGATACCATTTCCCAATATTAACTGGTTAACATTCCTTTTGCTTGTTTGTGTTTTCCCCTAAAAACTCACTGCCATCGAGTCAATGATGACTCAAAGCGGCCTCCTGTGGGTTTCTGAGACTGTAACTGTCTATGGGAGTAGAAAGCCTAGTCTTTCTCCCAGACGCTGATGGTGGTTTCGACCTGTTGCCCACTGGGACTCTATTTTTGCCTAATATAAAGTATATATAACATAAAATGTGCCATTTTAACTATTGCGAAGCTTACATTTTAATGGCATTAATTAGCTTCAGAAAGTTCTGCAATGATTTCCATAACTTTTGCATTTCTCCAAACAAAAACTCTATAGACATTAAGCAGTAATTCCCATTTCCCCTCCCTGAAGACCTTTATAACTTCTAATCTACTATCTTTCATGTGTGGTTATTCTATATATCTCTATGAGAAGAATAATAAGAGAGGAGTTAAATAAAAAAGGATTGCTGTCAAAGTTTCAGGTAGTGCATGTTTAAGTTGGTTTATTCTAAACAATATCATATTCAGTTGGTTTATTCCATACAAAACACATTTGCATATGTCTATGCGGCTCAGTGAATGGCTGTGATTTAGTTCTCTCAATATATTAATCTCATGAAGGAGTTTTCCAAAAAATCCATCAAAACAGTAGCTTCTGAGGAGAGCTGCTGGGTCAGTTCAATTCAAGGCAAAGAGATCAGCTCTGAATATGGTAACTGATTTTTGCATTCAGAAGGGGCAATCTCGACAAATTTTCCTGGAGGACAATAATGGGGAGCTATTACAAAAAGTTTTAAGAAACATTTATAAGTGCACTGCTGAGAAAGAAATCAGGACCATTTACACCAAGGAATTCTTGTTTCCAACAATGTGCTCCTCTCATTCCGTCCTTGGAGGGTTTTGTTGGGAAGCCTACCCAGCCCACTCTATCCCCGCCCCCGATCTTTCCTCTCTAGACATTGTTCAGTCCTCAAACCTCAGAGAATATCTAAAAGAAACACAATCTGCGCCCCTCAGAGAAGCCAAAACTGCCCTTTGGAAGTGGTGTAAATCTGACGTGAAGAATTCTTCGGGGAAGGGTTGTTAATGTCATTGGATGCTGGAAAGTCAAGCCCGGTGACAGCAACAGGCAGCCCCACACCATCGTCACAAGTGTTACATGTGAGCCTGTTGTTGCCTGTTGGAGGGTGGAGACGCTGCCCTCAGAAGTGGGTTCATCTCAATGGAGGGCATGGCGAGAAACAGGAGCTTCAGATTTTGACAGTTTTCATAGAGGTTTCTTTTATTTTATAGCAATACTCTGGATTGCTACAGTATTTGCCTTTTGTGTCTGGCTTATTTTCACTTAAAAATGTTTCAAAGTTCAATCATGTGCCGCCATTGTATATCTTTAATTCAGGGGAGCATAAATGTATTTGAATCATAAACTTTCAATTCCTTAATTATGTAATAACAAACTATTGGTCTTTTCTTGAAAGATAGTTTATACAAAAGTTTTCACACAAACATCCAGTGATATATATTTTTAATCCACTCAAATAAAAGGAGTTAGGATTCATAAATGCATTTTACATGAGAAGTTGTAGGCATGGCACCTAACATACCAAGTAGAAAGTTTGATTTTATACAAGGAATTCGAAAAAGACACCTTGGGCCTCTCCAATGTTAGTGCCAGAAATTAACAGATATGCATAGCTTTCGTTAAGTTGAGATATGTCAAGATTAGTGAAAACATTGACTTCAACATTTCTCACATTTTGTAGCATTATGGTCAGCTCTTCAATTGTCCTAATATTCTTTCTAGAGCTCCTGATTTTATAAACAATTAATTGAATATGAACAATCAAGACAAAACAAGGCAGGAAGATGAAGGATGATGACAGGAAAAGTTTACTTTTTGCTTTATTGGGAACTGGAGAAATTAAGATTATCCCATGAAATTGAGCTATCATGAAATATGACTAAAGAACTGAAGGAAAAGGGAAAGATTCCATTCTTAGCAGCTGCCTTTTCTTACCATTTACTTACTTACCGCCTTCTCTACAGACCTATTTTGTAGTGGAAAACGTATTCTTAAAATCTTAATAATCAAAAATGCACTTATCAAAGACAGCGTAAATGGGAGTGCTACATAATATATAGTCCTTATCCAACAGAAGAAAATCTCCTTTTCAAAAATGACTTGATATAAAAATGAATGGTACAACCCAAAGGAAAACTCATTTTCCTGCATAAGCCTGCTCATTTCATCTTGTGAATAATTTTTAACATGGCATATGACAAATGAAACAGAAATTATCCTTAACCAGGATGTCAAAATCCTTTTTTGGAAGCAAACACTCAAATAAGATTTTTAAATCCACATTCGGTCTTAAAACCATATTCTTTAAAGCACTGAAATAGGAATGGACTGAGGTGGTAACATTTCATGGTCAGAATGAAAAAATACTTACAGTATTGGCTTCTCCAGGTGACTTCCCTGTGAACCAACAATCTCCCCCAATGTACAAAACACTTGTCCCAGAAAGTCCTAAAATAGATAAAAGGATTAAAGCTCAATCCCAAACCAGGTTTACGCAACATGCTTTGTGTACCGCTAAGTGTAATACACGCAATACACATTGTATTCACTTTTACAATAATGAATTTTCTAGCTCCCCAAAGTAAATAGTTTGACATGTATGAACTTTAGCATGTGATTTTTCCATGAATTTTCACAGGTTGGGGTGTTATTAATCATAGAGAGACTTTGTCATTTTAAATTTTCTGGCACTGCATTTCTCTTCTTTTCTTCTTGTTTAAACTACAATGTAAATGAATACAAGTTCCAGAGTTCAAATTCACAACTGGCTCTCTTGGATATCTCTGGAACTACTACCTGTTGGCTACGCTGACAATTCCTGAGCGCACGGGCCAGCGACAGGCTACAGCATTGGCAATACTTACAGGGAAGTGTTGCCATACAATAGAAGCAAAACTGGGCTTCAGAGACACACTGCCCAGTGACTATTCCAGCACTGCCATTTGCTACCTCTGATTATGTGCAATTATAAAAGGCCTACAGTTTTTTTTAATCTCTAAAATGTATTAGCACTTCTTGGATAGGTTCAATAAGTTATTCAAGGAATAGCTGAGTCATGATAGAGAACTTGTTATCAAGGCAACCCTACCTCATGGCTATCTCACACATTACAATAGAACTTTGAGCAGCTGATTTTCTGGAGGGAGCAACAGTGAGTGAACTTGGGTTAACCTTTCATCAGTGAGCAACTGACTGTATTAACATGGACACCATAAATGGATGAATGGTTATTGGAACATGTTTAATTCCTAAAAACAGTGCTAACGATATAAAGCACTATTAAGTTCATTAACATGATTCTTATTTCAGCAATTCTTATTTCAAGACTCAGAATAACCCTGCAGAATGAGAGGTCTGTGAATAATATTGCATTTCACATGTAAAGAAACAAATAATCTAAGAAGTTGGTTTTGCACATTTTAAGCGGAAAGGTTGACATTAACTCATGTGTACTGACTTTAGATTCATATACTGCTAAGAGTTTCAACGCCATACATACAATGCAGCTGCACAGGCCCACAAAATAAGGGCTCAGGCATCATTTTGTTACGTAGGTCAAGTGAACATGAAAGTGTTTGAAGGTGAGATACACACCCTCCTGTTTGGCTTCCATGGGATCCAAAGAACTACTTTGTCCTAAAGGCGAAGCTGGCGGTAAACTATTGGAGAAAACACCCTTAGAGGAATGGAGAGGGGCTGATGGGAATCAAACTGTTGTCTTAAGTTTTACTAAACAAAATAAAAAAGGAGTCCAGGGGAAGGAGTGGGTTACCTGTTGGGCTGCTAACCACTAGGTCAACAGTTTGAACCTACCAGCTGCATAACAGAAGAAAGGTGAGGTTTTCTGCTCCTGTAATGATGTACAGCCCGGAAAACCCAAAGCGACAGTACTACCCTGACCCATGGGGTCGCTATGCCTCAGAAGGGACTCACTAGGCTTTCATATATGCAATCATTTTCATTACTGAACACCTTCCAATGATATGATCAATCAATATTTCTTGATTTGATGAATGAGAAGCGCTGGTGGCATAGTGCTTTCAAGTTGGGCTGCAATCTCCAAGGTCCTCAGTTTGAAACCACCAGCTGCTACATGGGAGAAAGACGAGGCTTTTCTACCCTGCAGCTATGAAGTAGCTATAAGGTAGCTATGAGTTGGCACCAACTCAATGGTGTTTCATTGAGTTTATTTTCTTTTCATGTAAGTACTAAACTAATTAAACTTAGTTTAAGAATTTGTGCTTTTATCATATTTACTATTATGTAGTATGCATTCCACTACATTCACAGAGTATCCAAAAATTACCCTGAATCCAATAAGCCGACCGAGAAGTGGAAAGAGCTTATAGTGAGAGGTGGAGGGGACAAGAGAAAGAGAGCATGGCATTATAACAGTGAGGTTCACGTCATATAGGCAGTTTTTGTTTTTACTTTTGTCTCTTTAATAATAACGGCAAATCAGAGGAGTGTTTGCATGATACCTGCAACCAGTTAAAGAAATTCACGACTGTTATGTGCTTTCATAGTGATACATCCATAATATGTAACTGTACTTAGCAATAAGTGAACTGGCTTTATTTTGTCTGCATGCTTAACTGATGGTTGGTTGTTCTACACCAGCACTGGTGCTTCCTAATATCATTTTTGAAACCTCTTCTGCTGTTCATTCAATTTTCAAAGTAGTATAGTAGACCCCTTATGGGTAAATATTGTAAGAATCTGAATATCCTGTGTTACTACACTAACTGAATCATTACTAATGTTGCTATGTTTGTTTCCTAATCTAAAATTGGGGTTAATCCATCTCATAGGTTGTTGAGAGAACAAAAAAGTCAAATGTATCCCAAGTACTTAGCACAATATTGGAAGCATGTTGACTGCCTAATACATGCCTGTCTTCTAAGTAGTAAAAGAATATTACTAGATGCTCAAAATTTACTACTTGCTACTGGATTTCAGTACTATACGATAGTTATAGTCTACGATCAGTGCATAGTATAGTATACTATAATGTGCATATTATATTTATTTCAATAAAATAGTATATTTTCAACAATTGTTTAAATTGCATTATAAAATCCAAATCTGTCAGATAAACCAACTAATCTTATGTAAACTAACATACAGATATGAATGTGCAAAAGGATTAATATTTTAAGAATAATAGTCTGATGAATAGGAAACACTGTAAGTGAAGTTTTTTATTTTTATACTGTCACAGAGCTAATCAGCCCATGTAGTTTATCATTAGCATAATTCATGAACAATTTAAAAAGCATTGAATAGTGTGACAACTTTTTCTAAAGGTTCTATAGAGAAAATTTTTAAATGTCTTTCCTGTTTTATAAAGTGATCAATTAACATCTAAAATACACAATTTCCCTGCTAAATAGATCATTTAAATTAAAAGACATTGAAGCAGACTTATTGAAAGCTCTGTTTTATATAGCAAAGTAATTAGGTGCAATTAAGTCTTAAAGAATTAGTCATTCTATTTCTTGATAAGAAAGTTGTGTGATTCCATCTATCCAGTTTGTAGTCATTTAACTGATTTTTAACACTTTCATGCTAAGACGTCATAACAGAAGAAAATGTTTTTAGAATATTTAATAATTGTACTAAGAGATTGGTAATGAAATAGACTTTGAATTACTTGTGAAAATGATATTGTTGGCTTTGCCTACTAATATTGTGTCTTTGGTCCCTGTCCATCCCCTCCTGTGGATCTGGTTCCAACTCATAGCAACCCTATTCCATGCTGATATTTTTATTTCTTTAGTATTTGATTAATATATTAATCAAATTGAGAGAGTTAGGTTTATTGTGCCAACCTGACCAATAAACATATGGGATTAATTGATGAGCAGAGAAATAAATGGCTCGGAGAACCTCACCTTTCTAGTTCTCAGGTCTCTTGCTTTCTGATGGTAGGACCAAGGAGGAGCTGCCTTAGCCAGTTCCCTGTTTCTGCTGGCAAGGCTCACTTCCTGCAAGACATCCCTGAGGAGAAGCTACATGGATCTACCCTGATGCAGCCCTGGGTGCTGGAGAAGCCGTGTGGAGATCCCTGCCAGCGCTCAGATGGTTACACCACCACTGACTTCAAAGACTTTCTACCCACTGGCCTGTGATGCTCCTGCATTTGACGTCATTGTATGTGTTTTGTGAGTTTAAGGAGGACTTTGACTTTGTAGATTAGTTTCATATATAAGGGCTAAATCGGACTTATGGTCTTGTATGGGACTGCGTTAGGATGCTTTCTGAATGTACCTTATATATAAAACTCTCATACATATGAGTTTCTGTGGAATTGTTTCTCTAGTTTACCTAAACTAACATACATCTGAGCTATAATGACTGGACTATGACCTGCAGTGTATACGAATATGGAAATAGTTTCTTATAATTGAACATGATGCTTCTTTGCTTCAGTGATGACTACTTTTTTTTTTATTGGTTGCATGTATATCTATAGGGAGTACTGATGGCATAGTAAGTAAGTAATGGATGCTAATAAACAGGTGAGTAACCCAACCAGTCACACTATGGTAGAAAGATGTGGCATCTGCTTTGAATAAAGATTATCATCTTGGTATTTGAATGGTAAAAACCCAAGATCAAAGGAGGGAACTTTATCAGAGTTTAAATTCTGAACCCCTGGATTTCAGAAGGCTTAGGATGACAAAGGATTTTCAAAGTCCATTTGCTATTTGGATTAAGCCTCTATTGAATTCCACAAGACTATTGAACAGGGAAGTGAAAAGTCTTTTCAACAGACAGGATGAATTGAATGTGAATTACTGTAGATGTACTTGGGTTTAAATTTAACACCTTATCATTTGTTTTCCTTTTTAACACATGTTTAACTTGTCCTACTTCTTATTACTTTTTGCTTCCTTCTAAAATGAGATTTTTCTGTGTTTTCTTTCTCTCACTCTTTCCTTTTTGTATAATTTTCTTTATAAGTAATCCAGGATAGGTAAATTTATAGAGACAGCAACTAGGATAAATACTTTCTTGGGGTTTTGACAGGGACATTTGGGGGTCAACGGTTGCTAATAACAATGGATACAGAAACAAACAAAAAAATATTCCACAAGTGATTGTGGTTATGACTTCCCAACTCATTGAGATATTCAAACTAATGATTTGCAGAATATCAAGTGAATTACAAGTCAATAAAATGGTTCTTCAAAAAGACTAACACCTGGGAAACCTGGAGGCAGGTCTCCTCTGCAGCCTTAGTGAGTCCAAATTGGCTTGATGGCACAGATCCACAGCAGAAAGAGGATATCTATGTGCTGCTAGGTGTAGGCAAACACAACATGGAAAAACTAGATTCAATATTTTAGTAGAAACAACCTTTTCCATTTTTTAACTTTTACATTTTTTTAATCAATTTATTGGGGCTCATACAATTCATCACAATACATAGATCAATTGTGTAA